CACAATACACCATAATTCTCATCACCTTATTTTAAACATCTTTTCGAAAAGTCTGTTATTTGATAGAATAAAACTAGTTTGCAGGTGCTGCTCCAAACTAGTACAAATCAAGATCGTCTTGAGATCCAGAGAAAGATTTTTGATTTTTTTTTATGAGCCAAATGAGAGTATAGTTTACATCAACTCGATAGTAACAGTGACCGCGTCGGGCGTTGGGATTGGTCCGCATTGAAATCTCCACTAATTGCAACGCTGAACGCGCTCTCTGTAGAGAGCGAGTTGTGTAAAATAAACTTACAATAAGCCCTCTGATGATAAGTGACTACCGCCGCCCATGGACACTTTCAACTCGTAAGTCACAAGTGCGTTGTCGCCCTTTGTTTCACGCACTCGGTAAAAAACAAATAAGGAATTGCAAGGAATTATTGTGGTGTTATTGTTCCGATTGAGCCGTATGTTTATCGGTTGGTATTGTATGAGCTGCCATACTTAATTCCAATAATCATCATGAAACTTTGTATATATACACTTTGTTGACAGGAATTCAAAAATGATATGTAACTACTTATTATGTGGGCAGATTTAAAAAAAATGTATTATCTCTTCTAAGCAGACAAAACCTAGTTAGGCATATTGACCGGCCTACACATAACATATGTAAATATTTGTATTATATCGGCAACGAAAACCTACAGTTATTTTAATCTGACGCTAAAATCGGGTTTCATATTTTCTGTCATAAAATAAAACAATTAAAGCTAGAGAGGTCGACATCGAAATTAAGCCCTGAGGCTAGTCCGCATCCGTCGTAATAAAACACATGCAAAGTTTTTCTTTGCCGAGCGCCGAGTGGCCGCAGCAAACGGATGCGAAGCAACAGGCTTGATTAAAACACGTGTTTACAGAAGGCACACGAGCCCGAACAAACGCAATAATACCAGCGAGGCTGGTGCAAGCCCTACGCTTTGCTTGAGAGATATTTAGACACTTGATATGCACGGTTAAATGTGAACCTATTGCAATATAAACACAACACGGTGAGTCGCGTAGTGACGCGATAGACCGTTTGTTGTTATCGGTCTCTTGAATTCTCTTGATATACCCGATACACTACATGCTATGGCTATGCAAAAGATATATTCGCTTAGAAACTCCAAGTTTATATTCATTCACTAGCTGGCACATTCTCAGATGACTCAAAAAAGTGTGGCCGGACCGATTTCAATCTCCACCTAAGTCTGAGTAGGTAATTGGACTTGACAGACTGACATCCGTGTAAGTGTGAGAGCTTTTTAAACCCCTTTTTTAAACCAAAATCCTAAAAACGGGTAATATCGATTAAAAACAATGACATATATTTTCAGAAGGGTAATCTTAGCACCATCACGTTTTCATAGCCGACATGTTGATAAGAATCATAAAAGGAAGCCACTAATGTGGAGACCACAGTTACGCATGCCACATACGAACAAAATGCAATTTGCTTCTTCCCATCCTAGACTAAGAGTAACATATAACTCAGCGCATTTTTACGTCTGTAAATTATAGTTTTACGATCGAAAATCATTTTTATGTTTTCGGAGGAATTTAATATCACGTGAGCTATGCTCGGCACATTCGCTCTTTTATTGCGCTGTAATTTTATTGTTTTCTCAATTTTTATTAACTATCAACCACCTACTTACGTCTCTCTTATAGTTGATCCTTGATCAATAAAAAATATTTTAGTTTAGGAAATCTATGTTATTCCTACCGATATTCACCTACCTAGATGCACATAAAAACACTGGCAAACTAATTGCTTTAGAAATATAAAGATTATAAAGTTACAAAGAAACTAGTTTCATACCAGAAAATTAGTTGTTTAAACGTTAAATGCACTCGCATCTTTTATGAAACTCTTCAAAGGAGTTTTGTTTTAAAGCTAAGCGGTTAATTCGTTCTTTATGGAAGCAAAACAAGTAACGCAACATTTTGTATCTTCACTGCCCTCAGTCTGCCTGTAAAATAGCAACGCAATAAAAAAATTAATTCCAGTTCTATACATATATATATGGAAATAGTAATTAAGCGATATCTGTTCCTATAATTAAAAACCAATAACAAGAGGGGTCTTTATAATAATAAGGGGCATAATAGCTTAATCACCATTGCCAAGCCTATTAAATACTGTTTAACTTTTTGGCTAGATTCGCTTTACTTAGCCAATTAGTTATAATTTTTTATGCTTAACGTCTTTAACACATCTGTTTTATACCGATTCTACCTATTTAATATTTAAATTAGGTTAACAAGACTCTAAGTTTCAAGTTGTGGACACTATGGTTAAATGTATTGGTAGATTACTTACGATTGTTTGGATACATTCATTGTGCACTTATGTTCATTTTTAGGGTTCCGTAATCCTTACAAGGCATGTACCCTTTTAGTTTCGACATGTACCTACGTTTGTCTCTCTATCTGTCTGTCTGTTGGCTCTTTGCTCTTCGGAGCAATGAGGAGAAAAACCTCGATAAAAACCGAGAAGGCTAGACCCTTTTATGGGTCGGAGTTTCTCCACTGGTAGCGGTTGAGAAACGAGGACGGGCTCGGCGTGTATTCACACTACCACCCAGCAGGCATACGGAGAATATACCTTATGCCGCCGTCGGCATATCGCAATTACAGAAGGAGTGTCGTGGTGATGTCTCGCGACTCCGGTTGGGGGCAAAGGTCTTGGCTTAGCCGCCCGAACTGCCTAGAAGACAACCTCTATAAAAATTACCCTGAATCCCGTGTTCTGGTGCGTGGCCAGGGGATGCATTGCTGATGGGTAGTTCAGTCGCAAGCCCACTCCTAGTTGAGGTACTTGCGCACCTCTCGGTGTGGCATAAACCTACGCTTGCCAGGGTATTGGGGGATCTCTGCTCGGGTTGACTTTTATTTCTCCCCCACTCTTAAAATCATTAAAGAAAATAAAAGGAAGGAAAGAAGGAGAGAAGTAGGAAGAAAAATATTGGAAGAACAGATGACTTCTCGTCTAACGAGGAGGAAGTTTTACTTGGGACGCCTATCTCGGTAGGGCTCACAGAAGTCAATTTGGCTGCTGGGAGCCGAAGAATATCGGAACGATTGCGTTCCACGTCCGCCATTCCGTCGGAAGAAGGTAACTACAGTACGACGATGGACGCACTGGAGGTGATGGAGATGGAGCTCTGTGACAACAGGAAACGCGGTTGCTCCAGGGACGACGACGGAAGCTCGCGTCCTGGAGTTCTCTGGGCCGGAAGATGTAAAAGCGTCAGACAAATTTGCCGATTAGTTGCGGGAGTATTGGGAGCCACGGATGGTAAAGGTCGCATGGCCTACAAAGTGCGCGGAGCTATGCACCTCAGGCCTGGACGACTCAGTGACGGCCGAGCAAGTCCGCGTTGCCATTCGGGAGAAGACGGGGTGCAGCGCGGACAATGTCAGGATTTACACCATCCGCTCCAAGTTTTGACAGACGCCGACAAGGTCTTCATCGGTTTAGTGAACACCAGAGTCATAGTTCTGGAGGCGAATCCGATGAGGTGCTTCAAATGCATGGCCGCGGGACACCCTCGCATCAAGAACGATAGCTGTTTCGACTGTAGTGGACTACGTTTAAACTGCGGTCGACTGCCCCGGTAGAGAAGGCCCAGTAATGGACCAAGTCTCCAATGTTCTTGTCCAGACGAACCTGAACCACTGTGTCAGTGCGCAGGATCTCTTCCTGCAAACCACGGCGCAGTGGTCGATCGGTGTCGCCGTAGCCGCGGTACCCTATTATGTTCCTCCCCGGTCAATCTGGTTGGGTGACCGGTACGGCTCCGTGGCAGTCGTCGGCTCATTCCCCGCCCTTGTCGTTAAGAGACAATGGCACTGGATATGTTGCAGCCGAATTGGGGGGATCACCATATGTGGTATTTACTTCTCCCCCCACCGCAGTTTGACTTCAAGGGTTTCCTCAATAGTCTGCCATTCAGCTGCATCAGGGAAGCACTCCACCATCATGGCGTGCCAAAGTACCCGAGGCGGCCAGTGGCAGACTATTTAGAGGAGCGTACCGTCGTGTACGAGGATCGAGATGGTAATTTGAGGTGTCGACCCATGTCGTGCGGTGTTCCACAGGGGTCTGTCCTTGGACCCCTCCTGTGGAAACTAGGGGTACGACTGGGCCCTTCGAGTTGATTTTCCCCCCGGCTGGGTGTAATCTGTTACGTATCTTTTTTCTTTATCTTGTTTTCTCTTCATTGCTTTTTACCTTTTAGTCTTTAACAACTGACATACTGGCACACATAATTTTTTTTTTGTCAAATCATCATCATTATTAACAGCCTTTAATAGTACACTACTGGATATAGTCCACTTCTTAGAAAGGAGGTTTTGGCCTACTATACGATGCTGGCCAAACGGGTTGGTATAGGGTTTGCTTCAAGTTTTCCTTCTCTTTTTGCAGTGCTGTTGCCCTGCGTAGTTTGCTCCCTTGTCGACTCTTACAACATCCACGGGATAAAAAACATTCATTTAACATTATTATAATTTTATATATTAACTGTACAACGATGTACATAAGCGCAAAAAGTTGTAAATAAATAAATAACTAATAATCATACATATAATTATAAAAAAAACCAGTGACAAGATCGTTCTAGCCAATTTGCAGAAGACTTAAATACGATAACACTATTATGCAAATCCCTACCTACCATAAATATGTTACTGTTTAAGAGAACTCAAAGGGCCGATCGCAGTGTAATACTGACCGTGTTAAAATAATATTAAAGAGTTACAGGCTTGTTACTTGGCACCACAGATTAGTATAATGTAGCAAGCTACTTGGCACCTAGCAACTACACTACCGTTACCTAGCAACGATTATTAACAAGACAATTCATCAGTAGGTACTTGTTATTCTCATTATTTTGTACCAGATTTTATAAATTTATATTTAATAACAGTTTTATTGGTAACATCAGGTGTTTATTTGATCTACAAACATGAATAGGGATCAAACTGTTCTGATAGATCGATTGAGGGGTATAGCCCCTCCAACTGGGGGTTCGAAAGGCGTGATTGCGTGTCAGTGTGAATTAGGTCGAGAGAAGCTGCTTACTGCACCACCTTATAAACTTGTAAAATCACCAGCTGTGGATGAAAATAAGTCTCAGACGGCACCAATCACGAGAGAACTCGACGAGTATAAATGCCCAGTCAGCCACATCCTTGTCAACTTCAGAGCTCCTTTACACCCGAACGAAGTGTTCAACAAAGTCTTCCCAGCGACAACACCCGTTAAGTTTGTGAAACGTAAACTGGCCAAATTACTAAGCGTGTCAAATAGCAATCTCTTACTAACTAAGAACAGAAACGTTCTGAAAGATACCAGTCTGCTATCAGACCTCAAGCCCGACCCTCTTGGCAATCTCAATGTCGATGTTTTTACAAAAAATTCAGATGATTTCTCTCTATCAGCAATACCAAAGGAATCATATGTCCATGAGCTATTGCACGCGATCATACCAAAAAAGAAGGCTATGCCATTTATAGCAATAAAGTTCAAAGTCAGGAATCAGGGTTCAACATTTACTCGTTCATATCAGTCAACCATGAAAGTTCACGAGATAAAGAAAAACTTGGGCGAACTTTTTAAAATTGAACCAGATAATATTGTGTTTTTAAGAGGAGAGAATCCTCTAAAGGATCGTATGACCCTCATGGATCTCGATTATGATAAGTACGGTATAGCTGAACTTGAATTACTAACAAAAAATCACGAGAAGCTAGATTTAGAAAAGTTATACAAGGAAATGCCTTTTAACGACGTTTTGAGCATTGTGGTTCCTTTTGGGGGTACACTCAAACAAATTAATGTCGAAATATTTTCATCACCAATCAAAAAGCCGTTTTTAGGAGGATACAGAAATGTAAATACAGGTATTACACGAATGTTTTAATTGTCACTCTTAAACTTATATTATATATATCTATGTTTGCGTCATGATATATCCCCTTATGGTTAGTAATTTGTCTGCAACACAATAATATTGTGATATATAAATACAGTGTGTTTGTTATATTATAATCTATCTATATAAACGCTTAACAGGAATTTTACTAACAGGAACAATTTCATTTGCAGGGGTCATTTATCATCATGCCTATACTCAAACACCTCAAAAACCAGAAAAGCTTCCTCCTGAAAAGAAGAACTGTAGAGATACACAAACAGCTGAAGAAAAAGAAAAGATATATGTAAGCAGTTTGATGCCAATTAACTTACTTCTTGTTCTTCTTCTTCTAAGCGCAAAGACGTCCACTGCTAGATATAGGCCTCTCCCAAGTTTTGACACAACAACCGGTCTTGTGCTGCCTGCATCCAATGGTTTCCTGCGACCTCACCAGGTCATCGGTGGTCCGATGAGCTGGCGAGGTCGCGGGAACCACTGCCACTTAAGTTTGGCAATTATCCGGACAACGTCAGTGACCTTAGTTCGTCTGCGGATCTTCTTACGAATGCGCCTAAATCACGATGAATCATAATAAACTGTATCCTTTCTTTTCGTTTCGACGAAAAGTAAAACGAAAAGTATACCCTCACAAATGAAAAAATGGAGTTCTCGAATCGGTTCATGAATGACGGAGTTGTGAGATAATAAACAAAAAAACTAATTTAAAACCTCCTTTTCTGAATTCAGTTAAATTTAGGCGGAAACATAGGTACTAACATAATAGAATCTATAGACATTTTAAGTATTGATTTATAAACCAACACACAATGTCGCAGCAAAAGTAGATAGATTCATGAAACGTTTTATTAAAACAGTAAAAACAAATATATTTTTTTTATTTTTTATTTTTATAGTATAAGGGGGCAAACAAGCAGACAGGTCACCTGATGGTAAGCAACTACCGCCGCCCATGGACACCTGCAACTCAAAAGTCACAGGTGCTTTGCTGCCCTTGGAGTCCCTCCCGCTCGTTGGTATTTCGAATTTTGACAATGCGCTTTATATATATTTTAAATAACTGTCTACCTGTCTATCTGCCTGTCTATGTTGTACAGAAAACCGTACGACATAGACCTGTGGGGCAAGTCTACTACGAGCATACCTATTTATGTAGATTATCAGAGTGGTCCTAATTCTGAAAGAGCATTTAAAATCTACAATATCAATTCATGAAAGTAAGTTCACTTATTTTTTTTTTTCAGGACACAAACTACAGTCGTGCAACACAAATGAACTGTGTCCACGCTTACATTCCGAACGTAACAGATAGAATTATTGTTCCTAAACACTACGAGACTTACGACGAAATGATAGCTCGACTGAACCATGCTCATTATGCAAGCATCATACAACGAACATTCAGACACTATCAGTTTCGTCAAAAAGTAGCCAAATGGTTAAAAGAATGCATGTAAGTAAGCAACCTAGTCTGCACCTAAGTTTTATTTCAATAAAAAAATTGTTTGTCAAGCAATAGCAAGCAAACAATATATCCCGACAATAGGCAAGCTAGAAAATAAAATTGGCAAGTGTATTGAAGAATCTTCTAAAAGTCACCTGTTACAATTTCTACAAGGCTATACACAGTTATAACTTAAAGTACAATCAAACTTAAATCACAATAATCTTTCGGTATAGCAGCGGTCCGCAGCATGTCTCCGCCGACTCCTTCTGCGAGCAGGTTATGCTTGCGAAGGAGTTTCAGAACTCTCCCGGCTCGCCAGGCCCAAGAATGGTCCAGGTACCGCAGAGGGCTCGGGCGCCGGAAGTTGCAGAGCAACCTCCGTCCTCCATAAGCGCAGGCCTGAGGGTGACAGGTGAGGCCATCTGTCACTCTAGCAAAAGCAGGCCGGCGTGGGTGGTGGCATGACGTGCTACGTAGCGCGCACGCCCTTCAGGGGCAGGAAGGGAACATTCGGGTTCCCACACAGGAGACGTCATCTATGAGCCGTGGATGGCCCTGTACGTCGGGGTACCAGGGCTTTCCTTTCTAGGGTATACCTGGTTCCCCGGCTACCGGTACCTGGAGACGGCGTGCGGTTTTTGGTCGGTTCGAGTTGAGCTCCCCTAGGAAACCACCTACCAGTGGGTGATTATGTCGGACTGCAACAATAGTACGGACGGATGCAAACAATAGTACCTAACAAGTTAAATTAAATCAACATCATAAACATAATTCCGACGTAGCTATAGATAGCAAATTAACATGTAGGCAGACTATTATTAATACATCACTGCAAAATATTTCTATGGAACCTTTATGTTTTAAAAGTGGAACACTAAGGTCTAAGTTTTTAGTTTTAGACAACATATTATATTGCCTGCAGAGCCTAAGCCCAAAGCGCCGTAATGACTCAGGTTTGATTTTGCTGAACGGACAGAGAATAGATTGTAGGTTGGTAGGTCTTTGGTAAACGTGATGGTATACTTATAGATAGGCTACTCATTAGCTCGTTGCAGTCTGTGTAACCATTGTTTTACTTATAAAAAAAAATAGCATCAAAGTGTGGCTGCCGCTGTTAAGTGTGCACATACTGTAGTTTTTGAGCCTTACGGTGAAGCTGGATAGTGATAACACTACAGTATGTGCAGTACATTATATTAATTTGCAATAACTATTGTAGCCGCTTTTCCTCTCTGGCGGACTACTCACCGGCTGGCCCAGTGGAGAGATTCAAGAGAATACCTCAGGGCGCCTTGTATGAGAATAGAAGTGTGTGCGTGTGGGAAACCTATGGGACTCTTTAGAGGAAAACAACTTACACCTCAGTTATACATACATGTATATTTCAGAGAAAAAGTAGATCAAATTAAACTAATTAAACAGTGTGGGTACACGAAAAAGAAAAAAAAAACCGCAGCGGTGCGCGTTAGAGCCGAGCTGATGGTGCTCGGTGCCACCTCGTCGTCCCTCCAGGAGGTTACTTCCTCTTCCGCCCGAGTCGGCTATTTATATTGGATATAGATAAAAGTTTAATAAATTACAATTATAAGTTTAAGTACGTAACTCTTGGGTACGGCTGTCCGCTTGCGTCGTGAGCCGCGCAATCACCAGCTTTGCCAGAGGGTACCGAGAAACTTGAGTCTGTACCAGAAGGCCACAAAAGAGCAAGCACACCGTCTAAGACTGACCGTCTTGACCCCGAAATCTGGGAACCTACGAATGGATTAGCACTCATATAAATTAAACAGGTTCCAGAAACAAATAGGTTTAAGAAGAATTGAGAGAATACTTACCACATTAGTGGGTAGATTATAACAGACTACATATTACGAAATTCAAATTACACGACAATCAAAACACTATTTAAGGTTGGAAGACACGAGATAGCAGAGTGTCTCCCGTAACAGAAAGCCGGACCTATATATCCTCGGTTCAGGAATCTTCCAGAAGTTAACCCCTCCTCATCATTTCACTTTGACATTTACATTGAGAAAGAAAACAACGCTAACAAAATCAAAAGTAACTTGCTTTCCACCATAGCTGAACACTCTCAACACCTATACAATTTGACATGACAGAATAACAAAACAGATTAAAAAAGGAAGTCTTTTTATCAATCTATTATGTCTCAAACCAACGCCATCTAGTGGTCCGAAAGTGAACAAAGGAGATCAATACCGTAGCTACAAACTACTTTAGATAAATCAACAACAAAGCGATGCGGACAAACAGGTGCCGCTTTTATCAATATCGTACGTATCACAAATGCACAAAAAAAAAAAAATAACTGTTACACCACCCCCTCCCTCAAAGTATTCCCTGCGTAGTGTGCGCAGGGAATATCCTCAACAGGGCCAAAATCCATATAAGTGGTTTTACGAACCCCGTGGTTTAGGAAAACATTCTATACTATGACTCGCGACTACAAAGCCTGTGGTTATCCATATAGGACACCACATGACATAACCTGAAGCCATCCATATGGGACCCAAACACGACAGTAGGCCGGAAGCAATCCTCATAGGACACAAATAAGAAAAATTTTGACGTAGTCCGAGACCACAATTGAAAGAACATTTCCCATGTAGGAAATGTAGTGAATGGACCCCTCAGGTCACAAAGGGGTGTCCTGAGAAGGTCTAGTCAGTTATAACTACACCGGCTAACCTATCTAGAAGGTATCTAGCCCTAACTCTAATAAGACAATTTATAATACGAAACGGAGTCACCTGAAGAAAAAACCTGTTCCAGTTCAAAGACCTTAAGCCCGCTGACAGACCATGTCAGAGGCGGAAAAGGCAGGAACAGCGGCTATGGCCTTAAAGCGGCCACGCCGGATAAGCCGCAAAGCAGTACGCATCTCACTTCGCAATCCGACAACCGTATCCTCAGGATTCTCTGAAATCCCCATGGAAGACAGTTCATTAATAAGTTCATCAATTTTAAGGTAGTTAATGCACATACATAAATGTGCCATGGTGGTTTACAATTCAAATTCGATTATAAAAAAAAAATAATCTTAACAAGTTAACAAACCAGTAATGCAGACTTAATGTCTTTTACAGTTCAAAAAAAAGTAAAAAATAATGATATTGAGTAGACTCCTTCACTATCAACAGAGTGTGAGAAGTTTAAAGTAAATTAATATTTAAAAAATATTATAACAAAATATTAAAACATCAAGTAATATCTCAAAGTAAAAAATATTGCTACTGAGTATATTTCTTCACCATTAAGTGTGAGAAAGCTAAAGCAAACTAATATTTTTAACAAATATTACAATAAAATATTAAAATATCAAGTAATATTTCAAAGTAGAAACTGAGTATACTTCTTCACTATTAAGTGTGAGAAAGCTAAAGCACACTAATATTTTTAACAAATATTGTAATAAAATATTAAAATATCAAGTAATATTTCAAAGTAGAAACTGAGTATACTTCTTCACTATTAAGTGTGAGAAAGCTAAAGCACACTAATATTTTTAACAAATATTATAATAAAATATTAAAATATCAAGTAATATTTCAAAGTAGAAACTGAGTATACTTCTTCACTATTAAGTGTGAGAAGGTTAAAGCACACTAATATTTTTAACAAATATTACAATAAAATATTAAAACATTAAGTAATTCTCAAAACATGAGAAGCAAATTCAACTAAAGACAAAGATATTCTTGTTTCACAATTCAAGACACAAGTTATACTATCTCTAGAACATTAACACAGTAATCCAATGAAATGACAAAGTTTTTTATTATAAAAGTTAATTCGACAAAAAAATTTAAGACAAGTTATATTATCTTTAGAATATTGACATAGTAATCCAATGAATTGACAAAGTTTAATTATCATAAAAGTTATTTCGACATAAATTTTAAGTAGGGTATGTATACCACAAAACTATTTTATTCTAATTTTAAGCCAAGAGGTTATATAAAAAATGGAGGGTACATAAAACTTTATAAGTTAAGTTTCATGTAAATTACACCAGTAGTACTGGGAAAAAAAAAACACACTGAATATACACGTATGCACAACTTCACGCTACGGACCTCAAAGGTACGAACAGAAGTAGCTAACTCAAAAAAAAAAGAAAAAAAAATTTAGGCCAGAAAATGTTTCAAAACTTACCCGAAATATGTGCAGTAGGAATTTTGAGTTAAATTTGGAATTTAGGTGTCTCACTGATTTTCCTTGCCTCAGGGATGATGGTACGATAGGCTGAAAATACAATGAGGGTAAAATTATTACATGAGTACTGCACCCGCACAACCAATTAACGTCCTGGGGAGTATCGGACGGAGGGAAGTGTCTCCTCCAAAGTGAAAACCCTTAGGCACCCTCACACAGCACACACACCGAGGTTTGGATCGCTGGCCCCACGTTGGGCGCCAATTTGTAGCCGCTTTTCCTCTCTGGCGGACTACTCACCGGCTGACCCAGTGGAGAGATTCAAGAGAATACCTCAGGGCGCCTTGTATGAGAATAGAAGTGTGTGCGTGTGGGAAACCTATGGGACTCTTTAGAGGAAAACAACTTACACCTCAGTTATACATACATGTATATTTCAGAGAAAAAGTAGATCAAATTAAACTAATTAAACAGTGTGGGTACACGAAAAAGAAAAAAAAAAAACCGCAGCGGTGCGCGTTAGAGCCGAGCTGATGGTGCTCGGTGCCACCTCGTCGTCCCTCCAGGAGGTTACTTCCTCTTCCGCCCGAGTCGGCTATTTATATTGGATATAGATAAAAGTTTAATAAATTACAATTATAAGTTTAAGTACGTAACTCTTGGGTACGGCTGTCCGCTTGCGTCGTGAGCCGCGCAATCACCAGCTTTGCCAGAGGGTACCGAGAAACTTGAGTCTGTACCAGAAGGCCACAAAAGAGCAAGCACACCGTCTAAGACTGACCGTCTTGACCCCGAAATCTGGGAACCTACGAATGGATTAGCACTCATATAAATTAAACAGGTTCCAGAAACAAATAGGTTTAAGAAGAATTGAGAGAATACTTACCACATTAGTGGGTAGATTATAACAGACTACATATTACGAAATTCAAATTACACGACAATCAAAACACTATTTAAGGTTGGAAGACACGAGATAGCAGAGTGTCTCCCGTAACAGAAAGCCGGACCTATATATCCTCGGTTCAGGAATCTTCCAGAAGTTAACCCCTCCTCATCATTTCACTTTGACATTTACATTGAGAAAGAAAACAACGCTAACAAAATCAAAAGTAACTTGCTTTCCACCATAGCTGAACACTCTCAACACCTATACAATTTGACATGACAGAATAACAAAACAGATTAAAAAAGGAAGTCTTTTTATCAATCTATTATGTCTCAAACCAACGCCATCTAGTGGTCCGAAAGTGAACAAAGGAGATCAATACCGTAGCTACAAACTACTTTAGATAAATCAACAACAAAGCGATGCGGACAAACAGGTGCCGCTTTTATCAATATCGTACGTATCACAAATGCACAAAAAAAAAAAAAACTGTTACACTATACAGCTATATAGCTGTATAGTTTCTTTAGCAAAGGTGATACTCACTGTACAAAGGTGATACTCACTGTAGCAAAGACGATTACAGTACATTGAAAATTATTTTGTAGTTGACAACACAGGACGAATGGGTAAACATGCACATTAAACTTATTTTTAATGGTGTCAAGAACGTGTGTAGGCAATACACGTTCTTGACACCATTAAAAATAATAATATATTTATTTGTTAGAATATGGGTATACAGAGTTGTTAGTAGTTACATTTTAGATGCTAGCCACATTCTACCATTGTCTGTACATTCTACCATTCTCAATTGCTAGTGCCGTTTAGAACAAACTCGTGTAATCGTACTGACCTATAACATGATAGTGTAACTTACATACTGTAATAGGTATCTACTGTCAAACTACACATATACGCGGGTATCACCACGGGGCGCAGGTAGTTTAAAATAAAATATAGTCAACAAGACACGTATATTTTTTTTTCTTAATTGACAAGTCACCAAATCTTAAGCGCCATAAAAAATAATAAATTACTTTAGTTGGCAGGAAAAGTGATTCTTTGAAAGCTTAAAATCTTTTGTGAAAAAGCTGCACTTATTCTAATGGTCTGTACAGTAGCGACATCTAACGAGTAATGCTGTTAACTAACTTATTATAACCCCAATGTATTAATTTGATTGAAATAAGAAGCATTAATGAATAAAATTGTTGCCATTGCAGGGAGAGAATAGCAAGGATGAAGGAAGAGGAAAGACTAGAACGAGAAGCAATGGAAAGACGATTACGGAGGGATCTTATAACTAAGACTTTTCCTAAAACGCGTGAAGACTTTGATCAGCTTTATGCCATGGTAAAATATTCATTTAGTCGTGTTGAAATTTAGAATCTTATCGGCTATATTATATAGGCCTAATACTAAACTGTAGTCTCATTATGTAACATAATGTTAAAAATAAAACATATTGGTACCATAATCCTAAAATATTAACTTTAAGTACCTAGGTATCACTTGCTTAGCTTAACTTAGTTTGTAAATTTTGCAGGTTGACCGTTGGAAGCACGCCGAAATAGCAAGGATATCACAATTACATTCAAAAGGTCCTAAAATAGCCGAATTCACGCTGCTTCTCGACAAAGAAGTGGAATTATTGCGTTGCATAGAAGACTACAGAGTGAAAGTTAAAGAAGATAGCCGGAAATTGAGAGACCAACGATTTTTAGAGGAAATATCTAAACCCGTTGCGTGGTATGGGCGCAGTGGAAAGTTAATTACAATGGAAACTATTGAAGTTCAGAAAGCTAGGAAGCTAAAGGAACTTTATAATTCATTTATCCGTGAAGATATGGACGTTAAGGAACGCATGGAACTAATGGTAGACATGAAATTTGCTTTACAAGAATTTCGACATTATTTAGCTGAAGAAATCATAACATTGCTAGATCAAGAATGTGATCTTCTCGTCCGAAGGTGTAATGCACATCAACTAGAATTTCTTCGACGTAGAATAGCGGGCAGTATATTCAGACTCATTCAAACATCTGAACTCAATTCGGGTGTCACAAAGTCCAAAGATATGAGGGATTACAGAAAAATGCAGAATTGTAGATTGTACTTTTGTGAACTGTGTCATCAAGTTAAACCTTACACTGATTTCCCTCTAGACACAAGGATAAACGATTTCTTGATTTGTAAATCCTGTTCATGGAAAGATGTCAACGAACGCTTATGGATAGATATGACACCTTACAGATTCATACTGAGGGCGGTGCAACGCGATGAGCGTCGTCGCAAATGTTGGGGATCATTGGCATTTGTACTACAAGAAAAAGATATTTTCTTCATAGTGGAGAAACTTTGGCATTCGCATTCGGCTATTAGTGAGTGCAATGATATCACCGAATTGAGATTATCTAGGTGGAATGTTAAGGAAGATTGGTCACCATGGAATTGTTTTTTGATCACTGTGCAAGAAATGAAAGCACACTTAAAGCTTGAGGCTCCAGACGAAGTGTATGATGAAGAGTTGGTACAGAAAGTTAATACAATACAGAAGCTTGCGAAAGCTAATTTTGCACAGTTGATGGCTGTTAATAAGCGGTATACTGAGACTGGTGAGTGGCAAGGAGTCCGCGCGCCCGCCGATGTCCGCGCGGATGGTGTAGAACCAATTTAATATTTTATTAACTTATTAACCTCGTCTTTAATCAGGTTTATTTTTTACTTGATGCCAAATGGCCTATTGTAGTTGGATTGTACTTTATAGCTTCCTCTAATACATAAAACAATGAGAGAGCTTCAAATGTAGGCACACTTTTTGTGATATTATTTATATTTAATCATGTTACATTATATTGTTTTCAAAATGAAAAAATAAGCGTCAAGGCGTTGTTTTTTTCGTTTTAGTATTGTTGTTTTCAATCATGTCATCTCATATAATTATATCTAGATTGTTATGTAGGTATTTATCCAAAAAAAAATACAAACCTTAACCATTTAAAGGTTTTTTTTACCTTCCAACTCACTCACTTTTTACAGAAGCAAATCTTTTTATTATGGAGTGAACATATGTGAGAAAATGTTCTCTTCAGTTGATAGGTTTTAATTCGGTGGCACTACAGTGTAGTCATACTACAGCAACAGAGTACTTGTGATGACGTACTTATTACACTATATTATTATATTCAATTCGAAACAACGATAGCAGTAGCTTTTGGGGCTACGTGGCTAGCACCATTAGGCCCAAAATATGGGAGCGGCAATGTAAGAACTGCTTTAGGCAAGGAATAGACCGGTCACACATATAAATGAACAATTAAAATCTCGAAAGAATAAAACAAATCAAAAGCCTTAAGAAAAAGAGTCATGTCTGTTAAGTGATTTTGGTTCCTGTGTTACATCCTTAAATGCACCTACTGATAATTTTTCCATGGAAGTACTTACTGCCGGGCTGACGCAATTATTTATTTAAAATGGCATATTATAAGGAATCATGAAATGAGAGCAGATCGCTGAAACATGTTTCTTTTTTTGTTTCAGTCGAATTTAAACTTTTTATAGTAGTCAGCTGACTTTTTTAAGTTTTTTTTTACCGCTGCTTTACCCCACTTACATTCGATGCTCAAGAGGTTTAACGAAAAAAAAAGAAAAAGATCAACAAAATTTGTAAGTGGCGCCGCTAGCGTGTGTATTGGAAAGTTAAAACCCGAACACGAAGAGCTAAGCGATATTGAAATTTATAAGTTTTTTACATCGCGAACATAAACGACTTGACATCATCTTTGACAAAGTATCAACTGTCTCTTCATACAGATCCATATTATAGGTATTTGATTATATAAATGAAACAACGACGTTATTTAAATTGTCTTCTTTTAATAATTACACGTAATACTTTATAACATAATTACACATTACATATACAATAATAATTTCTCAAGATTTCAAACTCGTGATAATAGTTAGAACAACATATTTGAAACACAAGTGATATAAAGGTGAAATTTTATAACGAAATGCATTTTAAGAGCTACACTTAGTCCATACAGGTCAATAAATTACGTAAATATAATTTAGGCAATAAAATCATAGCTGTACAGTACGAAATAAATGAAAAAGAAACCTCTGCTTTTGAAACAGAATACCCAGAAAGTGGTTTAGTATAAAAGTTATGTATTACAAATTCAGTTATATACCCATTTAACTTAATGTCTTATAAATTAAGTAAAGCTGTCAGAAATTGTCGTCATCACTGAAATTCTTATAAAAACACAGCACAGTGACGTAATGAAAACCTGTGGCAAACATGAATGAAAATCAGCCACAAAATTTCACAGTTTTCATTACAATTTTAAAAAAGTTTAATGTCTAGAATGCGAACATACAAATAAATGTATGAAATGGTGTAGTCGATAATATCAGTTTGTACAAAACTCGACGAACGTAAACGCCAGCTTCTACTAACTGTTAATTACTAAAAAAATATAAGATTCTAGAAAAGCTAGATCGTATTGCCAATTTCAATCAATAACTGAGTCACATAGTATTTGCAACAGCATAACATTTAATGAACTGTCGCGCAATCGACTTCTTAAGTAAGACAAAGTGTAATTAAAAATTTACGTTTACAAAACGTTGATAGAATTTCATTCATTGTGAGCATATGTATGTTTTTATTATATTACATTTAATAAAATAAATAAAAATTCCTGTGCCAGTACTGTACCGTATTTTAAATGCTTTTGATATGAACTCTTGTAAAATATATAATATAATATAATATAGTGAGATTCATAAAAGCGGACATTTGAGACCCGTCTAGAAATTTCTAGAATCTGACATTTTGTTGACTAAAATATATTCTTTTAATTTATTATTTTGAAATAAATCGTGTTCAGTCAATTTTTTTATCTGTCAATAAACATTTTGCATTAGCCTTCACAGAAATTAACAATTTATTATTAACTTGCAATAATTTGTCCTTTATGCTGATTTAAAATCAAATTATTAAAATAAAATTTGACGAACGTGAAAAAACTCGCTAAACTGCGTTACCATATAAAATTAAGTAATTTATGTGCCTACCTTGATTACTTCTACATTTCAAAAATAAAGAATAATTTTCGTCTAATGGGCATCAGTCATGTTGTGAACAAGGAGTCTTTTGCAAACCAGTTACACAATAAACAAATATTCATTTATAAACATCATCTAGTTCTACAACTGCTCAAAATTCCAACATCATAAATTGTCCTATTTTTTAATATCTATGCATAGATCATTCTCTCTTTTGTTTACCGAACTTAATGTTTGTACATTTTGCATCATCTTATAAGACGGCATTGCGTTCCTATGACGATATTTGTGATTGACGCGTATTACAACTTAATATTCGGACATTTTCAACCGCAACTACTCTAATTTACTCAACAAAGACTGAACTATTGGTACTAGCTATAATTTATTTACAATAAAGGATTGTGCCTCGATAAAACAATACTCTCATAATTTGTAACTCTCTCGGAGCAGTATAATACAAAAAAGTGCAGACACAATATTCACATAAAAGAATACATATCTATAATACACTTACTCGTCTATTTTTGCACTTTATATTGCCAGTTCAGTGGCTTAAACTCGGAATATCTCAATTTAATTAAGACTTTATAACCCATATCTATGTCGTCAACATCACTATCACCTTAACAGTCTGCGATTTATATTTACAGTATCATAGAGAAGGAAGAAGTATCGATACAAAGAGAAGAGGTACTTATATTAGCCCCGTGCAATATTTTGCGTCCACCACCTATCATAGTTTTATCACGAACGGTATACTAACTATTGCTACGCGGTGTTCACAATATACAAGGATTTCTTTGATGTTTTGGTTACGTATTTACAAGTTATAAACAATATGACCTGAAGGCTCTCGGATTACTAAACGCTTAGATTACGTTAAGACACATATGCATGCACTAACAGAACCACGTGACACTCCCGCCATGCAAGACGGAGAGGAGGTCATGTCGAAATCAACGCTTCTCATCACTAACCAGTACTCTACTTAAACTTCCATCAGTCAACAGAACAATAACAAATCTCAGTTTACTTTAAACACTCACTACTATTGTAGTCCATAATTCTGCGCAATCGGTAACTTCAACTTAGGGCGGCAGTATCAAAGTAAATTATTTTTGGTTGATAAATCATCATGTCAATATCAAACACTGGGTGACTTCTAGCTATGTTAAATAAGTCTAAAAAGTGCGATCTCCAATGATTATCATGAAAGACAACACGATGATTTCCAAGATAATCGCGTCCCATTCACTTAAAATTGAACCGATTACACGTGTAATTTCGTAGGATCCGAAACAATCCAGCCGGATCTCAGTGGTAGCCGTCGAGCTCCATAGAGCGGTCTGAGCTGGTGTTGGAGTAGGTGGAATAGTTGTGCGCCAAGTTGTTAAGGGACATGTCTTGTGGCAGATCGTCGGGCGGATTGGAATATGCAGCTTCCTGCTCGGCGTCACACGCTTCCATGAACTCGATGATCCGATTCGTCGCTTTCACATGTGCCACTATGGCTGCTTCACCCTGTAATTTAAATAAATTTGAGGTTTTTTTGATAAGCATTTTTTTAATAAGGCACAGCTAATACACTTTCTAAGTAATATTGTTTCGCTGCAATATTCTGTAGGTTGTGATGTTTATGGGTTATCATAAATCTCTTAGACTTACTTTATTAAAGTAAGCCTTTTCTATTTTCTATTGTCTGTTAAATTTTGCATTTGCCTTATTCCTCAAATAAAGAAATCTGATAAGGGTAATAGACAGAACATTACGATTTCTTGAGGTGAAGTTTTCGTACAAAATTGATTTAATGTTTGGGTTCGGTCTATTAAAGTACGGCCGCTGAGTTATTACCGATTTGACAGATTATTCTTAAATTAATCGATATAACCTTGCACGAGCGACACATTTGCCGAATGATTTAGAATACCTCTTTAATATAAAACTTTATGGCAAAATGTCAGAATCAAGTAATTTTCCAATAAACTCTATTTCAAAACTTAAAATAGTTTGTAAATAATATGAAAACATTTATTTTTTGTTCTTTGGCGCGCTTGTACAAAGTTACATCGTGCGTCTAGTTTTCATAGTGATGTGCTTGATAGTATTCGGTCCGAATTCATTCGAATAGACATGATATTTATTTTATTTGGATATTTTTATTTTACTTATTCCTTCGAGCAACTAGACTAAATATAATGCTACCATTTTTTTGCGTCTCCTAATTGCACTGTGTTGCCAGTATCTTATGATTTTTAAGATTTATGTGTGATCCAAAGACAGAAATACTGTTTTCTATGATTTAAAAATAAATACAATTAAAATGATTATGTATAATTTTTAACATTTATAATATATAAAACAACATTTAATAAATATAATTTTCTCCCTCAATTAAGCAATGTTATAGGTGTATTTTTTTAAGTAATTGGCGATACTATTCTGGCAACACCCTTACCACCGCTATTTTAATCTGTTTAGTCGTCTTCCGTACTCTCGTGCGCACAGACTACGTTCTCTTGTGTAACCGTTGTTTTTTGACTCGGCTTTCTCCTGTTTATCGTTGCGCTTTATTGGACTAATTTTTTTTGTTTGGTAATTTTGTTGAAAATGCCGAAACGAGGAAAAACATTGAATAGTCAATGTCGTGAGCTTGTACTAAAGCTACAGGATTACTTTGAGCGTGAGTCACAAAATGGCGGCCCTTTGATTCCTGTCACTCAAGTGAAAGATCGGGTTTCACAAGCTCTTGGAATTGGTGCAAAAACACTATATAATATAAATAAAGAAAAATTTGGTGCTTCTGGAAGTGAAGATAATGTTTTACGCACTCCTAAGAAAAAACGAAGACAAAAGCTCGTGACAGGTGTTGATGTTTTTGATGCAGATGCAATAAGAAACCACATATATGGTTATTATACTAGGAACGAGTTTCCAACTAGACGTTTGCTTTTGGTCTCTTTAAAAGAAGCTGGCTTGTTTAAAGGCGGTAAAACGGCGTTGTCAAAACTATTGCACGAAATTGGGTTTGAATATAAAAAAACGAATAAAAGGAAAATATTAATGGAAAGATTTGATTTAATAATTAAAAGGAGTGACTTTTTAAGAGAAGCCAGAAAAATCGAGTCTTGGGACAACGTCGTTTTTGTTGACGAAACATGGTTAAATGCGAACCACACTGTGTCACGCTCTTGGACTGACGAAACAAAAGCATCAACCTCAAAGGTTCCAATTGGAAAAGGATCGCGACTGATAATTTGTCACGCCGGTTCTGCTGGAAGTGGTTTCTTTGAAAATGGACTGCTGGCTTTCGCGTCAAAAAGTACTTCCGATTACCAGGAGATGGATACAGACACTTTTACGAATTGGTTCGAAAATTAATTATTACCCAGCCTGCCAGAGCCTTCTATCATAATAATGGACAACGCTTCATATCACTCGAAACAAGTGAATAAAGCGCCTACTCAGGCCGACAAGAAAGCTGATCTCGTAGCATGGCTACACCAAAATGGAATTGAAACTACTGCCGAAATGCTAAAGTCTGACTTAGTAAAGTTGGTACGCGAAAATAAAACATCAAGAGTCCGTTATGAAGTAGATGAGATAGCTCTGGCACATGGACATCGGGTACTTCGAATTCCGCCTTATCACTGCCAGTACAATGCCATTGAGCTAATTAGGGCACAAATCAAAGGTATTGTTTTTTATCGCATAAGTTATGAATATGAATAATTTGTACTATTATAACATCCAATATTCAGCATATAAGTAAAAAGATACATAACTAAGAAATAAATATCTCATGTCCCTTACATGTAGGTAATTGTGTAACATTTCGTTTATTTAATGTAATAAATTAACGTTATTTAATGTTTACATTACAGGTTACGCAGCTCGTAATAATACGACTCCGCCATTCAGTACTAATAAAATGATGGGTCTATTAAAAGATGCTTGCAGCAAAATAACGAAAAAGATTAGGTCAAGGTCGTCGAAAAGACTCGAAAACTAATAACAGAAGATTATGAACGCGATATAAGAGTGGACACCATTATAGACAATGAAATTGTCATACAAGTGACTGATAGCGATGACAGCTCTGGCGAATCTGGTTCAGTCTGAATAATTGTTTTAATAAATGATAGGTAGTCATTTATTAATAATACCACCTAATAAAGAACCTGTGTCTTTAACTATTATTTGTTTTGATTTTATTTAATTACACACTATACTAGAATATTTAAAAACAAACTGTTCCCAAATGATATTAGGGTTACTGGTTCAGTCACTTCACTAGTATTGTCAATTCGTCATGTGTCAAATCGGTAATAACTCAGCGGCCGTATACATACTATGACGTGAACAATTATTTTCAAAAAATTCGAAAAATCTGAATAAACTAAGCCTATTTGCGCTATAAATTGTGTATTTCAAATACACAATTTATAGCCCCAAAAAGGCAATTACTTCAGGGGCATAGTGAGCCATATTTAATCTCCGGAGATATGCATGTTTCTAAATAACATATATAGTTAATTCTATGTTATATACAGTTATAATTCTTTTGTGTATGTTGTGTTATCACTGAACTCATAAACAGCTTAATCGATTTTTATGAAATTTTGAAGTAGTTGATCCAGTAGGTGAAGATGTGATAGGGTTCAAGATTGTTTTCAACGCTGTCGGGTTTGTAAGTATTAAAATAATGTTTATTAAATTTTCTCTAAATTAAAAAAGAAATATTCGACAGAAGCTTAAGATCAATATTACAAATTAATTAAATATTTTTTATAGTAGTTTTAATTATTAATGTCAGAAGACAGAAGTTTTTTACAGATTCTTGGAAGCCGCAGTGCGGTTTTGGACCCAGAAGAATCTAAGAATTTATCAGCATTTACCATCCCAAGGATTTAATGACAATAGTTAGCACCAACTTACTTCGAAACTTTAGACGTTTAGTGTAATTTTAATTTTAAGTAGAGATATCCTTAACAAATTTCAAAAACATTCTATATTTTAAGTGATATTATAAACCCCTGTTGTTAGTCTCTATTTACCAAAAGTGACAGATGTGTATTTTGATTTAAATGGACCAGCATTGAAACCAATTGGTGATCACAGCCCTAGAGGTTTGTTTTACTATTAGTGTTAATTTTTATTAATTTGAACCATACAAGGTTATGGTGGAATGCTACATTTTGTATGCAATGTGTTAATAATAAATTCCTATTAGAAAACCTTTTTTTATTAACTCATAATTATTCAAATAGACATTGAAAAATTAACTCTTCATTTTTAAGTGGTTAAGAGATTTTTAAAGGTGAAGTGATGCCCCCGGGAATAACGATAATAATGGCCACCGCTGGCGGTAGGCCTCTCCTTAGAAAGGAGATTTTGGCCTACTATACCACGCCGGCCAGAAAGTTTCCCTTCTCTTTGCAGTGCTGTCGTCCTGGCGACACCCACGGGACGACTAGGGGTGGCGACACTCCGAATTATTAATCCGTCCCCATACAGAAACTATTTATGTTTTTTTGTGAATCGAGCGCGAACCGCAGTCCGTTGAACATATCGGTGAGGCAATACTCACGCTGGCGGTGAGCGCGAGGAAGGCGTAGTACTTCTTGAGCGTGGGCAGCAGCGGCGCGTAGCTGGGCACGCGCGCGCGCACGGCGGTGGCGCGCTGGTGCGCGGCGTGGCCCAGCAGCAGCGCGGCGTACGCGCCCACCATGCTGTGCTCCATGTGCGCGCCCGCGCGCGCCAGCACTGCCGACACACACACACACACACTTATTATACGGCTTTTAAACACGATCGGTACTATTATTTAAGGGACGCAGATAGCGATTTCTTACACGTACGACATTTGTATGACTAAAAACATTCGAATATAAAAAATATTGTAAGACGTTTGAACGAATATAAATTTTTTGGTATTCCGTCTACGTCCTGAATGAAAATTATCGAAAACCGCTCCTCCATTCGCATTAAGAAAATAATGACACATGGATCGAGCCCCACCCCCTGACCAACCCTGAAATTATCCTTTCGTACGAAAGCTCGGAACCTGATCCGTCAGTATGCGAGGGCTTATATATCAATAATAAAATTTGAAATTCCTCATAATAAACTTGGCTATTAAAACAAAACAAAAATCCGAAATTTTATTGGTAGTCTAATGTAAAATATTGCACAATTTAAAATTAAATTTGTAAGAATCAAAAAAATAGGAATTCCATACACATAATAAATTTACATAAAAATGCATGCAACAAAAAAATGAAATAGTTTATTGAAATCTCTATTTGAGTTCAAAATCTTTGAAATTGTCCAAAAATCCCAAATTTTTCCTAAATTCTTTTGAAATTAGTAACAAAATGAGAAATTAAAAATTTATAAATATGTAGTCTTTTCTAAAGTTTTTGATTAGTGATATCTTGGACCCTTTTTTTTCGTGCGGAAATCCCCTCTGATAACACCTATCGGTGGAATGTAGGACTCGAACCGACTAAAACCGCACGCCGTGTCGGGTACTAATAGCCGGGGAACCAGGTATACCCGATATTTTGGACCCTGTGAAAAGTAGTATTACTTACATTTAGCGACGGTTTCATCAATATCATCTTGAGACTTCTTATCATTTTCATCCGGTTTCCCATCTAATAACGCATCAGTGTTTTCCTCCGCTCGTCTGAAAGAAAATAAATTGTTATTCTAATAGCTACCCATCGAAAAATTATTTAATTAAAATACTTTCTACAATCTAGTCAGAAATTTATTCTATTCAGTCTGTAACATAACAAGACATTTTAAATTTATTCTCAATAGCACACGAGTGTAAAACACCAGTAGAATAACAACACTATGTTAGTAGTACTGGCAGACGTAGTGTGTCTGTACACGCATGTGTCATTTGCCCCATAAACCACATACAATTAAAAATAAAACTAATATGAAAGCTATTACTATATATATATAAATAATATGACACCACATTAAATAAATATAAAACTTGTGTCTTGTTTAAGTGATGATATTTTTTACAGAAACTTGTACAAACCTGGCTAGATCCTCCCGCTTATAAAATAGATCTACAATAAGGTCTAAGGCGCTGATACTCCTTGATATTATGTCATCTTCATTGTCGATACGTATGCGTACATTCAGAAACCTTTGTGTGTTAGTCTCATTATTCTGAACCAAATTAATTAACAGCAATAGGACCTGTAAACAACACACAGATACTGATAGGTACATTTTCATGTGGCAGGAATTCTGTAAATGACTATTACGTATTTAATTTTTTTTCAATAGCCCTAGTGCAGATACAGTTGTTACACGTGTTCTGTTTGAGGCAGCTCATTGGCTTCCAGGTAATGTGTGTAGATTTAGATGTTACAGATACACATAAAACTTGGGAATTTATATTTATTCTTGTCTAAATTATCATCTATGCCATAAAAAAGTATACATATTCTATTTATATACTTATTAGTGTATTACAATAAGCAATAAAATAGACAAAAAATATAGCAGAGCGTACTTATAAACTACACTGCAACACAATGTTGATTATATTTTTATATTTGTATCTTTTAAATCCAGTTAGATCCATAAAATTTTGCTAAGTTTTAATGCTAAGGTTTGTAACTGTAGTTATAATAAAACTAAAATCGCTCATATATGTCACTAATTTATGCTAATGCTACTCTGTCCATTTTTAATAGTAATCCTACAGAGCAAGTATGGCAGTATCAATGTCATAACATCGTCATAGTCGTAACATCGTAATAATGTCGGATCTGACATTTATTGATCTTTACAGGTTAGACATTTCAAATAATTAGGTTATTTTTTTGACATAATTTTTTTAAGTCTAAGTCTGTTTAATGGCATTATGAGAATTGGCATACAAGTGAAAGGATTTGTTTTAAAATGCAATAAAAATAACAACTAATATTTTACAATTTCGAGCGCCTATCAAACAAACACTGAATAATTTAAAATCTAAAATCCATTTTTTTTAATGTAGTAATAATATTTAAACAATATCGTATCCAAATATTGTAAAAACTGAATTTCGTATTTTTTCAAAACCGACATTATTCTACAATCATGACGACATTTGTGTCAGTTATTATTTGACAAGGGCTTGGCACCTTAATTGAGAGATTCATTAAGACACTTAAAATGTAATTATTATGTTTACTTTTTCTATAATTTCAAAAAATATAAGTCAAATAGTTAAACGACAACTTACACAAACACTAAACTCAAAGTTTCTATCGTCGGGGATGAAGTTGCCTTGGTTGTTCAGGATGACGAGACACGTTTCCATCACCGACGATTGTTCACCGATCACTTGTGCCCCTAGCGACGCTGAAAGGTGACGGTAGAGCGTTAAAAACTGTCCATCAATACGTTAGAGGAGCGTCGAAACAAGGCTACAAAGATAAGAGAGCGTGTGGGTGACTCACTGGTGTTGCTGAAGGAGTGCGAGAGGTTGAGCAGCACCTTGAGCGCGGGCAGCGCCGCGTCGAGCAGCTGCGCGCGCAGCGGCGCGTGGAGGCGCGCGGCGCCGCACCAGGCGCGCAGCACGCCGCAGATGCTGCGCGCCGCCTGCCCGCCGCCGTCGCACAGGTACATCTGGTTGTCCTCGTTCTGCTGCGTCACCTGCACCCGCACCGCACATCGTTATACGTTCTCTAACACATCTTTTTTATCATCGTAATTCCTCATGATAAAAATAATATGACGAGATCCTCGGTTTCTAAAAATATAATATTTTAAATAAAGAATGTGTCCGACGATTCCGACTTACGTTTTCTAGAACCCTGAGACATCTGTCGGCCTTTCTTAACACTTCGACGTCCGTGGTGGACCAGCTCTCGACGGGAGTGTCGAGACGCGCGGCGCAGTCTTGTATGGTGCGCACGATGTGGTCGACGCCGCCCAACACGCGCAGCTCCTCTTTGAACCACTCGCCCGCGCGCTTCGACGTCAACGACAGCAACGTTTCCATCGCCAAGTGACCCACCTACAAAAGATACATAATCGTTTAAGCGAGAACTTTATGAAGCCTTTTTCTCAATACTATATTCCCAACTTGTATGTAATGTATATCTCTTCACTGTATCATTCTCCTTGCGATATTAGAATAAATTTAAAATCAGAATAGTAACATTTATAAGTCGACAACGTGTTACACACATACATAGCGTAAGTATCGTAAAAAATAAATATTACAAACCGTTATATTTTCCAAGTCCAAGTGCTGAGCTTTCCCTTGACTCTTTATTTCGGCACACAATTCCCGCACCCTTTCTTGCGTTTTAGTTAACTGCGCCGACGTTAAACCGCAATCATCGAGAGCATTTCTAAAAAGTACACAATTAAATATATTCTTTACACAACATAAGACACATATTAAAAGTGTACTCAAAAACATAAGACACATTTTAAATGTGTCTAACCTTATAGATAATATTGTTTTCTTTTTGATAATTTCAATCGACATGTTCAAACAAAATGAGAATCATAATTTTATATAGTAACGGTTTTGATCAGAATTGAAAAAGGACATTAATATATGTCAAGAAACATTTATTACTAAAGATTTTGTCCGTTCAAGAAAGCACATGTGTTTGTAGAAATTTTAAACTACTGAATGTTCTTCTTATATATATATATATTATATATTTAACTATGGTAACCCATTGTTACAAAAACATATTTCTTTGCTTTTGTTGTTCACAGACATCTGTTGTCACAACCTATTACATTTCTTAGCCTAAATAGGCTAAGCCTATAAAAATACGAATATGTTTATTTTATGAACGTTTCTTTCAAACCTAAAAAGATAAGTAAGATAAGCGATTGATGTACATATAGCACGGAAAAGTAATTTCTCAATCAGGCAAACATTTCAGGTTATTTTACCGATAAAGATTCGGTAAGCAAACAAGTAGATGGCCTAACTTACGCTAAACAAGTAATATCACTTACAATTAACAAGTAGTACACATAGCCTTTCTTTCACAATTACGAATAATATTATTATATACATAGTCCATATAACCAATAACTAGTATAACCAAAATGTCAGCACTTACTTGTGTGATGCATCTGACTCAAGTAAATTCAACATAAGTTCCAGTGACTCGCGATCCAGATCCATGTTAAGTCGATCTTGAGATAACACAAACATCACTGTTGCTGTACACAGGCCCAAACTCTGAAAATATATTGTTAGTTATATTAATATTATTTTGTTCGCATCTATCAAATTATGTAATGTATACATTTTAATCAATATTAATATGATACTGCTAAGTCACAGTGGCCAATGACACCCAATACTCATACATTAGGGTTATATAAATTAATAGACTGGAACACATTAAGTATGCCTTGTAGCTTCTTGAGAAACATAATCTCTTTTGCAATAACGCTTCTTATTGTAAAGATGCTGATTGTTAACACAAAGATCAATAACAGTGATTCACAGATATATAATTATCGCGAAATCACTTTATCTCTAAGATTTAATGCGACCTCAATACTAAATAACGGTAAAAATAAGGTTTGGTGCTGTCGTTATCTGCATGTGATAAAAGATTAGTGGTTAAGATTGTATGTTGAGTTAGGGATAAAAGTGGTGACTTCCGCTCCGCCTCGTTTCTGGTGCAAAGGATGTCCGTTGCAATTCAGCGAGGCAATGCTGCCAGTATCATGGGCACCTTTGCACCGGCAGCGACGCGGGGCGGGTTTTATGATCATCCTTTGTACCAGGAACAAGCCAGAGCGGGAGTCACCACTTTTATCCCTAACTCGGCGACCAATCTCCGTAATTAACTCTTTAGCTTCCGACCCCCAACTGCCCAAAGTCTCCACCGCAATTGGCACAAAATAATAATGCATCTCCATTGCGGCGTATTTTGATCGCTTCCTACAAGCGGCATTCTCCGCTGCCGCCGCCGGAGCTTGGACGGTGCTACTCTGATGTGAGGCCGCGACTGTGCTGACGCATGTAGCGTCCCATACCAAGCACTTGCCGTTTTTCCACGCCACCAAAGTCAAACCATCCGGCTGCTTCCCATCAGATCTGTTGAGACCTGATGGCTCCAGCACGCAGGGTACATTGGCGGATTTAAGAGTTCAGACTATGTCATTTAATTTTAATTATACATAGGGTTCTAAACAATACCATATTAATAATAATACAGAAGACGACTATGAGCTACACCAATAAATAAATCTAGAACATGACCCTTGGGGTAATCTCTACATACCAACTATACATTATTTACTTCACATTTACTTCCTTGAAATGTTGCAAAATTTTGAAGATGAATAGGCTAGTTGACTCAATTTGAAAACTTGGTTAATTATATACTTTAATATCTATTTTATCCCAAAAAACCAATATTTTAAAGAAAAAGTAATATTTACATTACGTATTTTGTATTAAAAAAAAACAATTTAAATTTCCCTTGAAAACGCTGAATAAGTGTCATGGCGTCTTGAATGACGTCACAGTCTGCGAAACAAAACGGTTTACATCTGTGTCCAGTGTCAACTGAAACTGTATTAAGGTGAGAAAATATGCTAAAAACGAAAAACAATAACGAGTAACCTGCTCTGTTGTATGAAAACGTCAACAATAACAATGACGTTTTGCGTGGCGTGGCGTAACACTTTTAGATTGGTGTTAGCTGTCACGTGACTTAATGCTTATTTGTCTCGAATTTACTTTTTTTTAAATATTAATAATCTTTAACTTTTATGAGATATAGACTGTTTTTTTTCTTATCTATGACACTTCATTTATAATTTGAAACTATAAACCAAGCAATGTGTTATTAGTGGACACAGGCCTATTCTCATTTGTTTCCTTACCTGATCATTAGTCGCATCATGTAATGCACTGAAGAATTTCTGCACAGTGCCGTGCGCCCGTAAATGCATGCGGAACGCCGGCGCCGTACATTTGCTCGCCAATGTGATCGCTGACAAACATCTCGTCGATATTGGGTTGTTATTCTGCATAAATTTTATAAGTCATTAAGATTATTAAAAAGGATGCATCCTAAAAAGTTATAATACACGCCATGAAACATGTTATTCAATAATAATAACCTCACACACCCACACTATAACCTCACGGCTGTCTGATCCCAAAACTAGGCAGAGTCTGTACTATGGTAACCAGACTGCTGATAAACATAGTTATATATTTCTAAATACATACATATTATAGATAATTTACACTCAGACACAAAACAAACGTTTATGCTCATCACACAAATATTTGTTCTGGGTGGGAATCCAACCCACAACCTCAGGCTTAGCAGTCAGGGTCACTAACCACTAGACCAGCAGGCCCGTCAAGACCGTCATAAATATGTAATTAGCCAAAGATCACCTTTTTAAGGTATACTTTACCAGCATTTGACCGCGGCTCCGCGCGCGTAAATGTAGGTTATCGCGGTAAAAAGCCTGTCTTTCCTAAGTTTCTTCATTCACGAAATTTCATCTAAACCGGTTCAGTGGTTATTGATTCAATACACAAAGGTTAAACTCCCTTTTCACCCCCTTAAAGGATGTTTTCTGGGATAAAAACTACTATGTATATATCCCGTGACTCGCCCGAACTCTATATCAAATTTCATCTAAAGCCGTTCAGCAGTTTATGCATGAAGAGGTAACAGACAGACAGATACGCTTTCGCATTTATAATATTAGTATGAATAGTCTTGATATGTCTAGATAGATATTGGATAAAGTTTTATGAAATATTTTAGTATGGTCTTCATCATCAGCCTATTGCAGTTCACTGCTGGACAGAGCACCTTTCCCATTGCACGATAGTTTGGTCTATATTAATATTTACAAGTGAAGCAATGGGTGACAACATAATTACAATTAAAATGAAAAAAGGGATTTTCTATTTTTATTGATTCTCAGTCAAATGAATATGTTTCAAATAATCACATCAACAGCCTTTACTAGTCCACTGCTGGACATAGGCCTCTCCTTAGAAAGAAGGTTTTGGCCTACTACACCACGCTGGCCAGACGGGTTGGTATAGGGCTTGTGTCAAGTTTTCCTTCTTTTTGCAGTGCTGGTGTCCTGCGTTGTTTTGCGCCCTTAGTCGGCTCTTACGACACCCACGGGATGAATTGGGGTAGTGACATACCGTATTCTTAGTCCGTCACTACACGGACAGGACTAATCAATGGTTTACATTCCTAATTATCATTACTAACCTGTAATGAGTCCAGGAGATATTCTACGTCATCATTAAATTCTTGGAATTCACCAATTTCTTGAATTTGGTGGGCTTTCTTTACATTTCTTACAACTGTATAGAACTGTAAAAAAAAATATTCTTAAATTACTAATGTTTTTAATGGCAGCAAACTATTACTATTTTACTAACAGAAAGATAATAGAAATCAGTCAGTAGTGTGCAGAGAACTGATACTGATAAACTTAGTGGGATTATGATTGACAATGTTTTAATAAAAATATCTTCATGGTCGCTTTTCATCGATAATGTGGAGGTTAAATAGAATGTGGGTATATAACACTATACTATGAAATGTATTAGTAGAGAAAATATTAATTCTTTAATATTATGCAAATATTACACAAAGGTAATTCAATAAAAAATGTGTCATTACATTTATGTAATGAAAAACGTAGTGAAAAACGAAAAATGAAAACTACCTACAGAGGCATCCATACAAACAAAAATAACATGATTATTATATTATAGGCATTAAGTACATCTTTCCTTTTACCAGGAGGAATGGACAATGTCTGTGATAAAGTATATTATTTGCCATCTAATAATTATGGTTTTTAATAATTATGCACATTTAACTATACTTAACAATGATGAATTAATTTTTAATACACTAAACCAATATATGACCAAGGTTTCAAGTCTTGTATATTAAATTTGAATATTTTTTACACAGAGAAAATCCCTACACTAATTATAGTTTAATTACTTCTTATCATATATATATATATATATATATATATATATATATATGATAAGATAACTTCAAACATAATAAATGAAAACAGCATAATTCAGTTATATGACATTCAAAAAAGGAAAAACCATATTATATATTTATAAATATTTTCATTAAAAGTAAATCCTAGGATGATCGCCATTTATATAATATTTTCCTGATTAGTCATTGAAAAGTTCAATGTCATACAATAATATTTTGAGGGTTACCCTCTCAAAATATTATTTAAGGACATTTAACTTTTGTCACTAGAAAGAATAAAACATATTTTATGTAACAACTACTTATCAGACACACAATTAACTATTTAATTCATATGATCAGTTGAAAACAGATGAAATAATTTCCCATTGACTGTGTGTTAATATTGTCTCAGTCCTTCAGTCTATTTTGATCCTAACAATGAAAACCCATTGATTGTTTGCCTATTGTACCATTAATTGTTAAACGCAAACATTGTATTGTATACATTTTATGTAATGTAACTTTTCATACCCAAGTTGAATTAATTATACTTAAGCTTTCTTCGTTAGCATTTATCTTGGATTGATTTTTTGGATATGTGATGCAATGTGTAAAATGTAAAATTTAGTGTAAATGATTCATACTATAATCATTTATACAATAGTTTTGGCACTGTTACTCAGCATATTACTCTTAATTAAGTATACACATACCTCTTTAGCTTCCTTAGCACATCTAACACTCGTGTAAGGTTTGACTGTTTCCATAGACTCAGGACCATCTACAATAGGATCTGGAGGTCTAAACCTCGTCACCCTAGTTAGCTCTTCAGACACCTGGCCTGCTTGGTTTCCAGTATCAGTATTCTCAACAGGTTCAGGCCTTGGAGTTTCATTCCCTTTCTGTAAAATAAAAATTTCAAATTAATCATTTATATTTCTTTAAAGTGAAACTAGATTTTTATATACTTGCTGCTTACATAAATGTGTAAATACAATTATAGTATTTATTTTAGATCATACAAATGGTTTTGGATGTAGTGTGTCTTTTAGAAGTGTTACTTTCATCTGTTCAGGCTATGTATTATCATATCATAACTACAAAATAGATTTTATTATAGAAGGCATAGAAAAAACTTTGACTTTTATAGTCAAAAACTGATGGTTTGCGTGACGCGGAGCGGGTGATGCGCTCGGCTATACACGACACGATGTACTAACTCGATATCTCCAGATTTATTTATTTGAGATTAAAACACACGATGAAATTAAAAACGAATTTATTTTCATGTATTATAATTTCAGTATATTGTAAGTTTTAATGATTAATTATAAAAAATTTATACTTGTAAAATAATTTTTATAAAATCACCTATCTTTATCGTGTAAATTATATTCAGATACAATTTAATAATGAAGTAAAATAATAAATATCTATATACTTCAAGGGAGACGATAAATAATTCGAGTTATAGAGTTTCAGACTAATGGAGGCATTCAACTTAGGCGGATTTTGTAAAGAAATATTCAACTTGTACAGGTTTAGATTTTTTCGTTGATAATTTTCAATTTCTTTCATGACGTTTTATTCGTTTTTTAATATTGTTAACAGAGTAGGACACATTGGTAGACCTAATTTTGAGGGTTGGTGTAGGTCGTCTTTAAAGTTTTTATTCTCTTTGCAGTACTGTTATCCTGCGTAGTTTGCTCCCTTAATCGGGTGATACTTCGTATTCTTAATCCGTCACCACACGGATAATCGATAACTTCTACTGTATATTAATCAAGTAACTTCAAATAAAAAGAAAAGGAAAAGTTTATGAAAATTAAAAAAATTAAAATGTTCCTGAATCTTTTTGTGACACAGAGACGGTAGATTATATTATCCATGTTGCAAAATAATACCGTGTGTAGCAGTCTTAAGAAAAACAACACGTACAGCCATGCTTTCACGTGAGTCACTGCCGGCGGACAGCGACACACTAGCTAATTGGTTGAGTGTACCCCCGCCCTGCGTCCCGCAAACCATCGGGAGGGCCAAGCTTACGGCGGTTTGACTATAGGCTGAACTATGATACTGTTAAAAAATTCTTAACATGACAGGAGTCATAAAATAACATGAGATTTTTTTTCATTCCACTGCTGTAAACACACTATGTATACCTATGTTTCACAATAAAGATTGATTGAAAAATAAGTACTTACATCGTTAGCCCATTCATGTCTATACAGGTGACGCCTTTTCCTAGCTGGCAGTGGTGAAGGATTATCATTGACAAGAGATTTGCTTTTAAATATTGATCCTTTTTTCTTTGTTATTACTAATTTTACACTAGGTTTTTCTTCCACTTGAATATGATCTTCAGTTTCACACATGCCTTGTGGTGATTTAAATACATCTTGTGGATTTTTCGAAGCCTCTTCTTCAAAATTCTCATTAGGGCAGCTATTGTAGGCAGAATCAGAAGATTGTGTATTTGCCTGAACATAGTTAGGAGTATCATTTGTAAGTTCTTGAGCAACCTCATTTGTATCCTCTTCCTGACTTACATCTTCAGTAGCTGCACTGGGCTCTATGCTATTGTCTTCAAGAGGCACAGGATTTATTAAATCAGGTTCTGGGCTTGAGTGTTTATTATGCTTGTGTTTATGTTTCCTATGCAGTTTTACCCTTTGACTTTCTTTCTTTCCACTGTCACTACCAGACAATATGTCAATCAGATCATCAGTTTCTACAGGCATTCCTATTTTGTCAATTCCTTGGTCAGGTTCTGGTGAGGTAACTGAAGAAGCTGCATCACCTATGACTGGTATGTCGTGTTTTTTCCTTGTTTTTCTACTTTCTTTCTTAATATCACTAACAGTTTTAGTAGCATGTTTGTTAGCGTAAGTGGAGGTGATAACATCCAAATAATCATCATTCTCACTATAGTTAATATTGGGCCTGTTCCTTCGAGATCTTCCTGCATTCTCTGGAGGTTTTGGCTCAGGTGGCAGTTCATTGGGTTGAACCTCTAATCTTGGACACTTTATAACAGAACTACCAGAATCAAACTTTGCTAGCTGTGATTCAATATCATTTTTCAATGACAATTGACTCTTAGATTCTATTTCATTTTCATGAGCTGGCGATGCTAAAGTTTTGTAAAGATCATAAGCATCTGATCCAGGTATGGGAGAACTATTTGGTTTTTTCAGAGGCTCATCATCAGAGTTTTTATGATGACGTTTATGAGACTTGTGCTCTTTTTTATCTCTTTTCTTTTCTTTTTTGGGTTCCTGGTTAAGACTACTGCATTTGATAGTGATTTTAAGTCCTTCGTGTTTAGGAGAACATATAGTTTCCATGGATGGGCTCTTTTTATGATCAGAGCCAACATCTGAATGAGTATCTAAAGATGAATGCCTATCAGAACCTGGTGATGTGAAACCTTCATTGGAATCAGTACTAACAATTCTCGATGTTCCCTTTGATATTCTAAGCACTATAGGAGGTGGTTTTCGTTCTTCACTTGTATCTTTGCTTGTTGATGGACTAGTAACCTCTACCTTTTCTAATGTCTTTATAGTAGGACTTGAAACTAAGGGACTGACTTTAGGTGAAGGAATTTTAGGCGAAGCTACTGGTGTGACTTTGGGTTGAGTAGACTCATACCGTGTGAATTCTGGGATAGGGCTGTTGCTTCCATCTTCAGCATAATTTATTACTTTATCACGATTGCGAACCAGGTAACGTTTATTAGGTGGTTGAGAGTTTTCAGCAGGCACCTCCTCTTTTCTGGCAGCCTTTGTGGCCACGGAACTTTTCTTTGCTTTAGATTTTTCTGAGTTGCGGCGGGGTAACTCCGGTGATGATGAGTCTCTGTTGTACACCCTACTTCTCTTGGTAGATTTTTTATCTTTACTGTTCGAAGGATGCTCTGGTGATAAAGGTGCCGCAGGTACAGGAGGAGCATAGGTAATTTGTGGTATTGATGGAAATACTTCAACATTGCGAGATTTAAAAAATTTCTTCGGCTTTGGTGGTGGTTGTTCAGTCTCAACAGCTGGAACTGTCAGTGGGCTATTTTGATCTTGTACTGGCTTTTTAACAATGTTATTTGCATATGCTGAAACATAAAAGCAAATTGCATTGACTAACAAGTATTCCTTTCCTGAGGTTTACAGCACAACTGTGAAATATCTAGTCAAACACAAACGAACTTTCACTACCGTAGCTCTTACACTAATCTAATGTGAAAATAGTTGTTTACAACAAAGATAACTTAAAGTACTCGGCTTCAAGGTTGTTTAGAAATGACGAATGTGTCAGTGAACGTGCTTACCGTACGGCGCGCTTCTAATCGACGTGAAGCTAGTGATTCCCCACTTCCCGACTGTGCCCGCCGAGCGTGCAGCAGTAGGGCAATTACTGTTCTCTCTAAACAGAGCACTATCCAGCGGTACAGCAACGCTACCGCCTCGGCCTCTGCCCCAGCGCGACATGCTGATATAATTTCATCAAAAACGATGACACTTGCACCGACTCCCGTCTAATCAATCGCCTCAGCAAATGTCAAAACGAACAACACATGCCGTTTCCAAACACGAGATAATTTACAGCAGCAGCACTTAAAAAATCCACGTACACCACTACTCGAAACATTACTTGACTTTCTCCAAATGAAATGAAAACACTACCCATAAAGATAACACACCCGCCATTTTTACGGGAGCTAAGCACTTTTTCCTCAGATGCACTTGTATGCGTTTTAAACGATCAAGCCTGATAGCACTGTTTTACTTTGTTCATAACAATTACTGATTTTCTTTGAACATTTGAGGTAGATCTTTAACGTTGATTCCAACATGAAGAAATGACAAATGGGACACAAACTACGATGTTGTCATCTCATAACACAAAAGACGCCATATTGGCTAAACAAGAAGTGTTTCTATCAACCAATAGGAACGGAGTATAAACCACAAACCATAGATATCTACCTTAATATTATTAGAAATGGAGGTTACTAAAAAAGTATTTAAAAGATTAAGAAACAAATATAAAAAAAATACTAACTAAATGTACTGCATGTATATTATACTGATCAATGCTTAATAGAGATTAATAAATGGAATCATAATTTAATTTCATTACATTCCCAGCACTTCAACAAAATGGCGCCCATATCATAACCAAAAAAGAATGCAATGCGCAAAAGAGCGGTAAATATTGAATGAGACCGCGTAAAGTTTGGCGTAATTAGAGATGTGACGGTCTGGCATATTGTCAAACCAAGTGGAATCGGAAAACGGAACCGTTGAAATTGTAGTAAACCGGTTTGAACCGTATGATGAGTTCATTAACGAATGTAACATATGAAAGTAATGTGCAACATGATTGGATGGGATCCATTAAACAATCGGTTATTAAAAATCGGTTTGTCAAAGTTTGCATCCAAGTTTACATACAAGCGTTAAACTTGACATTACCTATGCAAACCGACGACCTTAAGTATGTACCTACCAAGCCTTCTTTTTTTCTCATTTGACGGATATAAGAAAAATATGTCCGTTAGAACGAACGTTTAGAAAATAGGTTTATGTATTAAATTATCCGTATCCGATTTTATAGGTACATAATAATATAGATTGTGCTAATAATAATAAATTGATAAATTAAGTTTCACTGCCGTGATGCATCGCCTCGGTTCAGAATCATTTGGTAGATAAATCAGTTTAGTTCGATCGATAGGGCAGGAGCCGCTAGCACAACAGTACGACGTGCAGCGCAGCGCGATCCTATGATACGACTAGACCTGTTTGTAACCACGGGCTAACCGAGTCAACTCGGTTCATGCTCAAAGCGGTTAGAAAAGTCGATTCGTTACACCACTAGGCGCAATGTGCTGCACCTGTCCTAAGTCTGGGTGTTCTTTGTGTCCGTTTCATGTAAATTTGTAAAGGACCGCGACGGAAGGAAAAAATCATGCTTAGGTATTAAAATTATTGCTGCCTAAGGGTCGCTGCGGCCACATCTTGGGGCCATGTGACCGCTGTAAACGACCCGAGACAGATGACACTCCGGTGCGGCCGCGGGGGTGTCGTCTAAGGCGGGACGCTATCGCAATAGCGTCCTTTTACTGAAAAGGCGCACCTTTTAATGTGTAGAGCAGTGAGGGGTGCGGCAGCGTCCTGCCCCAGGGTGACTACGGTCACCCCGGGATGTGCCTCAGACATGGGGTACGGCAGGGTCCTTCCTGCCGTACCCCATGCGACTTCTGGAGTCCTCTCCAGAAGTCGCCGATGCGTTCCTGGAGCTCCTCCCGACTGCTGAGGTAGGCCGCCGTGGGGTTTAGTTTGTAGACCGGTTCTCTGGGAGTCCCACACACGCCCTGCGTTTCCCCAACGCAGGGTATGGTGCGAAAGCATTCCCCGCATTAAAAAAAGGTATATTTTTAAAGGTTTTCTTAATATTCATAATTTTACAGTAATGCATTTTACGCAGTGGCGGATTAACCCTAAGGCAAATTAGGCATGTGCCTGGATTTTGTTACAAAAAAAAATACATGCCTACCATAAAAAGAACTGTGTCAGTAAGTATGCACATACTTACACAATATAAAAAAAAAAACTTAACTCTAAAGAAATGCTTAAAGTTGACATCTAGGATTTACCTATATTACGTAATTTCTACTGCACGGGTAGCGTGGTGGTTTAAACGGTCGCCACGCCACGGATCCCCACATGGGACGACACTTTGTGTGATGCACAAATTGTGGTTCTGGGCCTGGGTGTACTTCCTGCCCGTTTCATGTATGTTTGTAAACTCCCCCGCGCCACAGGATATATTCCTAATGCGGGAGTTCTCTTTAAAAAAAAACACTTACTTTTACTTAATTTGCTTTCATTTTCTGATACCTACGAAGATTGACACTAGTGCGTGTACACAAAAATGCAGTTTGCTACAACTGCATCTGTAGTGGAGATTACTCTAAAAGTTATAGTAATATACCAGGGCTGTCCGGTCAATGGCACCATACGCCCAGAATAAGGTGCCTTCTGAGGGTGCTAACTCTCAGAGGGTGCTAACTCTCAGAGAGTGCTGGCGGATCTCTGTCATGGCATTTAGAGGCGAAAATGAGTGTCTAAAGGCCGTTTGCCGAGCCACAATGAGTTGTCAAAAAAACCGGTCAGGTACGAGTCGAACTCGTGCGCCGAGGGTTCTGTACTTACCCTGATTTTATTAAAATTTGTAAGTACCAAAATTTATCTTAATTTTCAACTTTTTTATTTTTTGGTATTATTCCTTTATTTGTGCTGTAAGACGTTTCTTTTTGCCAAATTTCGTGATTCTAGGTCAACGGGAACTACCATATAGGTTTTCGATCCAAAACCTATAGGGTACTTCCGGTTGACCTAGAAAGGTCTACCGGAAGTACCCACACAGTAGTAGTAGACAGCACAAGTAAAGAGAATATTCTGAAAAACAAAAAGGTTGGAAATTAAGGTAAATTTTGGTACTTACAAGTTTTCGCGAAAATCGAAATTTGCCCATATCTTTTTATCGTATTAACTCAGGACCTTGATTTTTATACACCTAATAGGGACCATAGACCTCAGTATCTGCTATAAATTTCAACTTGCTAGGTCTACCCGTTCCTGAAAAAATCGGTGGTGACACACGGACAGACGGACAAGAAAATGATCTTATAAGGGTTACTTTTTTACCTTTTGAGGTACGGAACCCTAAAAACTGGTAACATTACTCTGACTACTCTTAGAAATAAGTAATTATTATATTTCTGATTAAATTAAATGTGGTATCTACAATTTCAACTGCCAAAACGTCATACACAATGTCAGACAATTTCAAAAATAATAAGTTTTGTACATAATTCATATTGCCCGAGCACTACACATACCTACTTATGCTAAAAAAATCGATATCTCGGTTATACAGTATAAGTAATATATTGTTACTTTAAGACACCTCTTTAGATAAGTTAAAATAACTTGACAGTTATTTGGGATATATTACATACAACTAAAATTACCTAACTATACTTATATTAAATAACAAACCCCTGGTCGCCCCCGGCGCAAACTAAATAAAATATAAAAAAATATTAACTTCTTATGAAATGTAGCTACTCGTGTTTGTTCGTAACTTTATAGTTGCGTACTAAAGTCTTCTGATTGCCGGGTACTGATACCATTGAAGGTTTTATTTGATGAATATGACTAACAATACCATACTAAACGTAACTTTCATTAAAACTACTTACTAACTAAACTGTCATTATATACCACAAAGAAATATCAGCATTCATACTTAAGCATTTTGTAACCGTTTCCACGTGATTTTATAGTTTAACACATGTACTAATAAAATTCTTGGTGTTGAGTATTTAACCCACATATTGCAAATATGATATTTCTTCGTACTATTTTCGTATAGAGAGGAGTTTCATGTAGAAAGGGGTGTATTACAGAGCGACCGAACCCCATCCGAGTTGTTCTCGTCGCGACGCTAATATCATCATATTCAAGAACCTAGAATAAAATAAAATCGGACTCAACAAAACTGGTGAATACCTAATTCACTTACGTTTCGTCATCTAGTTCTATTTTCAGAATGTAGTCCCACTCACGTAGAATGGGCAAGCCGATTTTTATTAACCTTTAAGGCACTTTTGGTTTAAAGATCAAATAATTTAGAGTAAATGGAAAGGGAGCTATGAATTAATCAATTCATCTGTATTAGTAATACCTAAGTAAAAAAAAAAAAAAAGTGATCTACTTAAGCTATTGGTTATACAGTAGGTATAACCAATAGCTTAAGTAGATCATTTTTTTTACTTGGAGTAGATCTGTTTATCTTTTAACCCCGACGAATATCGGGGGGTTTTATAAGTTTAACCTGTGTGTCTGTCTGTCTGTTTGTGGCATCATAGCCCCCGATCGGATGAACCAATTTCGATGCTCCTTTTTTTGTTCGAAAGCCGATGTAATCGAGATGGTTCTTAGCTATAAATGTTGAATAGTGATGAAGGGATCTCACTAAAATCCACACGTCCGACTGATCTGAAATTTCGTAAACTGTTAATTTGTTGGTATTTCCACGACATGAAAACCTGGAACTTGCTGCTGCATCAAGTAGTATGCGGGATGGCCAACTCCTCAGATAATTATAGCATATGGGTATACCTACCATGTTTGACCCTATTAGAACAGTCTCAATGAGCAGTAATGTTGTTTTTTAAAGTCTGCTTTTTGTGTCGGGTGTTTTTTAATGATGCTATTGTTTAAGATGATTAAACATTTTTTGGTTATAGGTAGGTTAACAAGCAACTAGGGATGTTACGAATCTTTGATTTCGGTGTAAAAGGTCGGTATTTCCTATTGATTTTACTCAAACGACTTCAGCTTTGGTTCAAATTAATTAAGACCTATGACTAAGGATGAAACGTAGCAGCGTAAAAGTCTATACTTATCTCTCTTTA